AAACAGATTTTTGCTAGATTTACACCCGATTTGTAATAGCCAACGTTGCAGACTAACACAAAAATGTCACTTGCTGATCAGCTGTTCACCTCAGTAGACGTCAAAGCGAGATGCATACTCGTGAAATAGGGTATATATAAACATATGTTGGTATTATGAGTAAAGAGTGTAAGATATTGGAGAACGTATTCAACACCAGATTTGTATATTAGGAGTTCATATTGTTTAATTAATATGATAATGAATGGATTATCTGTAACGTTCTGAAATATTCAACATAGGAAACAGATGTTATACTGGAATGGAGCTCTACATTTTGAATATAATAATAATTATTTAAACTTATGCTACAGCGGATGAATCAACAAATTATGGGATATGACTTGGTAAAGATACTCCAGATTTACACCAGATTTGCTTAGACTATTAGACCATTTTGAACAGACAAGATTAAGATAGATCCACGGACAAATGGGAAACATCAAATCACAACTCGACATAAAAACGAAGCAATGCAGTAGCTTCACAAAACACAGATTTCTATCATATTCCACTTCGGCATTAAAATTGAATTGATATTCTTTTAAACTAAGACCGAACAACTTCACATTCTATTATGAATTTTCTACTACACGTAAGTCCTTGTTGTGAGCATGCATTCTTGTCGAAGTTAGAAGGCAGAAGCAGCTATATCAAAAAATAAGACAGAAACAGATTTGAAATACATTACATCAGATAAGAGCTTGCGGTTTTTCTGAAAATGGTGGTCAGAAATGACTAGAAGACTTTCTCTGGCAGTTTTGCATCTTTTGAATTTTGAAACTTTAATAAATAATTGTTTTATACAAAGGTTGTGTTTTGAACGCATCTACTGACACTCGATGTCAATTAACAAATTAATCAAAAAAAGTTGCACAAAACTGTTAACTATGGACCATTTTCATTTATGTTTTTTTTATATTATCAAATTATATCGTATATTTATAAAATAGAAATGCATGTATAAAAGTATGCCAGAAAAATTACTGTACTATTGTCGACACGATTCTGGAACAACATAAACGTTTAAACGTCGGTTAGTTTCCCATCCTGCATGTGCATCTTTATATTTATACCTAAGTTTGTATATTGAAACTTCATGCAAATCATTGGTTCTAAATTCGCTTCAATAGATACTTTAAAGCTTTCTGAGCTGAGAAAATTATTTATGGGTACTTCAAAAACAGATTTCGAAAACTCTGTAATACCAATGTCCTTAAAGAACAAATCACACTTGAAACGTCTTTATTTTTTCTAAGCGATTTTATGAAGACTAAAGGAGGGTTGAGGGTTGAACAAAACTAAACACGGATTCGTGGCCAGAAGACAAAAATTCCAGGGAAATCATGTCACATGTGAACTTAAAATGCCCATTTTTTGTAAGTCTATGTACTTAATCCACCCGGTGCCTTTTTACCCCCTAAACAAGGGTGAAAATAGATAAAATAGAGTTAGTAGTAATTTTTATTAAGAAAATATTGGTTTGCCAGTGTCAAAAGTTTACAAAAATGCTATTATTAGGTGGTGGTATTTCCACTATTTTAAGGGGTGGTTGGAAAACACTAGGGACTGGAGGTGGTCCTTTAAGGGTGGAATAGGATTATTTTTGTCGGTAGATACTACAGGAACTGATTTTGAACATTTTAATCCAAATTAATTTTATGCCGAAATCCGGACTTGACCCTCCTTTTTGGGCCTTTTTCCCATTTCAATATCATCATAATGTTGAGCTAAACACATCTTTCGAGCCCAGACACCCTAATTAATATCCTCAAATTCTTTATTGCAGAGATGCTTCAAAAAATTTTAGAACCCATCCGTTCAAGTAATAAACTTTCTCTTCGAATTCAGAGGAAACGAGTGTAGGAAGAAGCCGAAAAGCTAAACATTGGGCTGATATGAAATTCAAATTTCTATATTCCTTCCCATTCCACAACATCATTTGCTCAGGAAACTCCGTCCCTAAGACATAAAGGTTGACTTTACTATCAGCTATAAAAAGTTATTGAATTTTAAAATAAATATGAATAATTCTAACCTCGTTTTCCTAAGAAGAAAAATACATACTATCTGAAACTCGGAATTCTTAGAATTTTATACTCACCTAGTATCTATCAAGTCAGAGACCAATTAAAAAATGGTAATAATATCTGACGTCAAAATTCCATTTCTAAGGCATGCTACATTGCCCTTCACATTTAGTTACAGGGTTCAGAAGGGGAGACAAACAAACTGGTTTTCTTTGCTTTTTCTCGTTCATTGCGAACGAACATTATGCATGGTCAATTTGACTTAAAAATAATTTTTAATTTCTCCTAGCTTTTTGTTATCCACAAGTAGAGAATATTTCATAAGCATTGAGTCAAACTTTAAAGGTAGTTATTTGTGTTGTTCTAAGATTACTTTTTTTTACTTAAAATAACTACTTTGTATTGAAATATACGGGGTGATATTTTAGTATGAGATCAGTAGTCAAAATTCAAGAACACGAAATAAATAAATTTTGATTGATTTGATATCTGAAAAGGTTATCAAAAATTCTAGACTACTATACGTTCTTGACTTGAAAATATGTCACTACAAGGTGATTCATAAATACATAAACATACATTTTTTTAAAATAGAATGTCGTGCATGTTTTAGTATATCCCTTTAAGAGAACTTTGGACCACTACCTCTGGAGCTAAGAGATATTTTGTCCAGAATAAACTGTTTACTTTGATTGCATGTAAGCCTTTTGCAGAAAGGGTAACAAATAAGTTTAATTTCCAATAGTTTCTTGACATCTAAACGTTTTCGTTTTTTAAGTTTGTTGCATCATCCATAAACGCAAGATGTAATTTCTCTAAACAAATTTAATTGGTACACCCGCTATATTTTTGCGAGTTTAAGTTAAGCTTCTTTTAACATTTTTGGGGGATTAAATCATTAAATTTGTGGCATTTATTTATATTTATTTTGAGATGTAATATCTCGAAAACTGGGAATGACTCAAGAATTAAGTAATCTCTACTCACCAAGCAAAATAAAGCTTATAAAAAGATTAACCCAATTAATTCTAACACGTTGTTCTAATGTAGCAATCTTCTGTGAATACCTCAGAAATCAAATTAATTAGTTTTTTAGTCAATATCGTCAGTATAAAGGTAAGGATCGTTTAAGAAATATCCTCAAGTCAAGTTAACCTCGGTGATAGAAGAAGTTGTGTTTTTAATCCAATTTTAATAAAAGTATGCCAATATAAGATTATTAACCTAATTTTTTTTGGCGGAACAATCCGTTAAACGCATCTCAAATAGGTGTTGCCACTTTTTGATGTAATAAGGTACAATGTGGGGTAATATGCCTACAGTAGAGGGTGGGGACTCAGAATTGGAACATGATGAATCAGAATTTTGTGCCCAATGCGGTGGATACTATTTTGACAAAAAAGGTCCCAAATGTGACTGGTTGCAATGTCTAAAATGCCGTGATTGGGTTCACGAGATATAGTATGTACTCCTTCAGACATATATTGTAGCGATTGTGTCTCACTAAATCAACTAGCAAGTACCTCGAAAGCTCTCGAGATATGAGATTTATTAGCCGCGTTGTATTACTTAATACTTGTTCTGTTGTAAGGATTATATATTTTTTCTCGACTAACAGTTGTTCACTTTTTACGAGAAGAGCATGTTGGCATATTCCCCAAAGCATGATGCCATATTACCCATAGGTACGGGTAATATCATTCTTCAGTCTGGGATTATGTCAACGAGCATTTCAAGACATATACTCAAATATACACGCTCTAAGATGCCGCCTTCTCCTTGTGGTTGGGTTGGTTGCTTGTTAGAATGTGAGCTTTTGAAATTTATGTTGTCATATTCCCTCACGCTACATATTTGACTATAACTTTTGCAAAAAAAATGTAACTTATATTTCAAAACAATGGTGCAATCGACTGATCCCACACTAAGAACTCGCCTGATTTAGCAACTTTAGCATGGTTGCTCGTGATTTATCAAAGAACTCAGACTAAGTAGAAGAAGACAATCAAGGATTTGTTTGTCGTCCCGATTCTCATAGTCTTTAGCGATGATCAAAGCGCATACTGAAAGTGCACTTGATATCGGTTAATTTTTTGATAGTTCTGTCACTAAATGCATACTTCCAAATCTTTCTATTCGTCATTGTCCGTCAGAGCGGTTCGTGGGACCTTAGCCCTTTATTAAAGTTGCATACTTTTAACATTATTTTTTAAGTGCGAGTGTCTGACGATAGAGGTGTTAGACAATTTCAAGAAATGTATCCTGCCTAGTTAGCTAGTCCAAGTATAACCTGTGTAGCCGCTAAATATCACTGTAAAGTGTAACGATACTTGAATAAATGAGTCACCAAGAAAGGTCATCCATTTACAATCTATATCATGCGGAAATCATTGAATAAACCTAGGAAGACTGTAGAGTTATTATTTTAGAGAATTGCGGAGGAAATGAGAAAGGACTCGGGTGTATTCAAAAAAGTTCGACAGATAAAAGCTGTCATTTTCGGTAAATTATATTCGTATTTCCGAAAACGGCAAAATGGACTTGAAATATTCCTTTAACATTTCTCCACAGTCTGGAAACATCCCCAATAAAAATAACTCATCATATTTGTGGTAAACAATCTACCTGGCAGCCGTTCCTAAACGTGAAGACACGACAACACTCTTAAGTGATTCCCTACGGGCTATTTCATCATCTACTGTTTCGCGAAAACTTTATAGATCAGCCATTTTTCAGTTAGCAATTCTTCTATAACATCCACTTCTCCTTCGGCTTAAGGCTGCAATATAAAGTCCTCGCTATGTTCCAGCCTGTTTTTTGTCTATTTTTTATGTATATATTCTTACGTGCATGTTTTAGTGATTTGAGCAATTAGATCAAGTGACAATTTCTTATTGGCGAGTCAGTCTTATTTTTGTGTGTTCAATTTACCTTTGCTTTTGTATTTTGCTTAGCTTGGGATTGTGCCGCGATCCTGAAACAAAGAAATGCATGACTTAGAATGGAATAAGCATTAAGGACAAAAAATGCTGAAATTATGTAATGTTGGTTACGTCCGTTTTACACACAATCTCAGTATTCTGACTTGACTTCAGCTTACTAAGTTTATTGCACGTTCTATGTACCAAAACTCAATGGAAGTGAGGAGAGATATTTTTCTCCCCATTACCCCAACTGCATTACTGATAGACCAACCTCAGCTGAATGTGATTTGTCCTCACAGCTTTAAGTTTGTTTATATGCAAAATCCTAAGAATTTAAATTGTGGTTTCAGAATATGGCAGTGGATGTAAAACTCTAATTATGGTATATAGCTAACATAAACCAGGATGGATTATGTTTAGGTTGTTTTAACTCTGAAGTGAGACAGACGTCCACAAATTTGACAGCCTCATCTATGGACCAACGAATTAATCTCATTTGTGGCGTTACTACAAACAATGCAATGTAAGCATATCGGCTTGGCTCCTTCTACCCTATTCGAATTCGTTGGTTTGGACTGTCTCACTTCACCTGCAAAACTCAACAGTTTAATTAAGAAACTTGACTACATTTGACATTCAATACTATATGTATACCCGGCGAGTATATTGTGTGTTCTCATATATCCTATTGACTCAACCCAAAACACCCAGTCCCCATTTTTCAATGCAACATTTTAGTCTTTAGCACAGGTTTAGGTTCCGGTTCCATCAACTGGCAGCGGTCTCGGTAACGGTGAGGATCAAATATGCGATGTGACGAAATAACCCGACTGCATTACTGATAGACCAACCTCAGCTGAATGTGATTTGTCCTCACAGCTTTAAGTTTGTTTATATGCAAAATCCTAAGAATTTAAATTGTGTTTTCAGAATATGGCAGTGGATGTAAAACTCTAATTATGGTATATAGTTAAACATAAACCAGGATGGATTATGTTTAGGTTGTTTTAACTCTGAAGTAAGACAGTCGTCTACAAATTTGACAGCCTCATCTATGGACCAACAAATTAATCTCATTTGTGGCGTTATTACAAACAATGCAATGTAAGCATATCGGCTTGGCTCCTTCTAAACTATTCGAATTCGTTGGTTTGGACTGTCTCACTTCACCTGCAAAACTCAACAGTTTAATTAAGAAACCTGACTACATTTGACATTCGACATTCAGTACTATATGTATACCCGGCGAGTATATTGTGTGTTCTCATATGACTCAACTCAAAACACACAGTCCCCATTTTTCAATGCAACATTTTAGTCTTTAGCACAGGTTTGGGTTCCATGAACTGGCAGCGGTCTCGGTAACGGTGAAGATCAAATATAGTATGCGATGTGACGAAATAACCAGCGAATTTTTAAAGTGTTAGTTTATAATTGGCCGTGATTGCAACGGTGCATTCCTGAACCAAATCCATGTAGAAAAAATGCACAAAAACATGTTTCCTAAGAAGTCTGGTTTCTACGATACATGGTGTCAAACATTGAACAAAATGGGTTTTGTAGAAAAAGAAAACAAGTTTTCGCGGAAAGTCAAAAAAATTATTAGATATAACAGCAGAAAAACATTCCCCTGTAATGCAAAGTTGATTTGATTTTGTTTTAACAGTTTTTCGACATGTAATGAAGTTTATTGTTACCTCGAAAACAAAGTAAGATACGAAGCAATTTCAAGAGACAAATTACAAAGAATATAGGTTTTCAAAAAAGTCAGTGACGGACATTTTTTTGGCGTCTACCTCCCGAGACGTCACTAGAAATCATGATTATAGTTAGAGCTAACCAGCGTCTTTTAGCAGTGAACAATAATGCCAAAATTTACCATAATCGGTGCAAGGATCTTTGAGATATAAAAAAAACAAATTTTCTGAAACTCAGACACCTTGGAAATTAGACTGTTTAAGATACATGTTTATAGGAGCTTCTCTACTTGAATTTCATTCAGGAATGCACAGTTGTAATTACGGCTTATCATTAAGTAACACCCTATATATATATATATATATATATATATATATATATGAAGAAGAAACGTAAAACATGGGAGACTTTTGGTCTAGTTGCCCCACTACTTTCTTGTTCCTTCCATCACAACCATGATAGATCTATTAATATTAGATAATTTTTTGTAGAGCAATAGCATAATCAGTTTTATTTTTTCGGCGAGGCCTGGTAACCATATGCTAAATACTACAGAAGTTACAGATTATACGGGGTGTTAGGGAAATAATGTTCGTAACTTTAAGAGGTGATTCCTTGCATAATTCTAAGCAAAAAAGTTCATTATAACCTATGTCGGAAAATCAACCGTTTCGGAACAAAAAATGCTGAACTTATTTCTTTTTGGTCATGGAATAAATTAATTTTGCACCTTAATAATTTAAATTCATATGTCTAATAGCGTAAAATGTATCAATACATCTAGTTATTAATTAACTGTCTCTAACAAAATAATTGTCTTGCTTTTTAAATACAATTTTCCGAAGAAAAACAATCAAAACAAAATCCCTTACACAACTGGCAACATCGTATTCCGCCTGCACTGCATGTATGTACCTATCATCGCGTGTTGTTTTGATTACTAATACATTTAACGGTAACTTTATGTGATTTACGGATATTGTTCTTTTTGATAATCATGGGAATTGATGGTGTGTATCGCCACGTACCGGTAAGTTCTGTCATTTTTTTTTTGTAAATGTACTGTACTGAAAGCGTTATTAAGTAAAAAATATTAGTCACAAGAAATTGCGTAAAAGTATTCAATAATTCCTGGCATATTTTCAACAAAAATATCATACAAATGTGAACAATTTGATGAATTAGTTGCGGTCGGCATGCACTCGTATAGTGGTAACGTTGCCAAATGTTTGAGAAAATTTAATTATTTACGACTCACTTTCCTCGAAAACAATTGTTTTTCGGACATAAGTTATAATGAACTTTTTTTCTTAGAATAATTCAATAATTTACCTTTTAAAGTTACGAATATTATATCCATAACATCCTGTATATAGTAGACGCAGATATGTATCATTTAAAGTTAATTCAACTACCATACATTGACGCAATTTTCGCTTATCTCTCATCCCTGATCCTCTCCGAGCACCACGTAGTGGAGATGACATACTATAAACCGTTTAGCTGAATAATCGTGTACAAGTCAGAATCAGTTAATTTTGCTGTCGTCATTTCCCCAAAACAGTTTAGCTGTTTAGCTACACAATTCTGAACGCCATGATTAACGATTCACAGAAACGCCGGTCTGCTATTTAACAAAATACGTAGACGCAAATAACAGTAGCTCGTTGAGTAATCTGCGTTAATTACGCATTTTCAGCCATTATAATCTGAATTAAATTTTGTATAATGCGGCCTCATCAAGATGAATAGCTAAAATACCTCTCACATACACAGAGTGTTCCAAATTAAGTAGACACTATCGTATCTCTTATGGTTTCCAAGATTCCAATGGTGACAGTCGAATTTGAAACTCCCGATATGGAGAAACTTAAGACCAACCAAATTGTGCAATGGGACCCGAATGATACTCAAATATTTACATTCAAACATCATTGAAGCAACGGTTGGTTAGAAAAATCAGCAGGTGAAGATGTTTTTATATCTGGCGGCCCCTTAATTCATTCCAATATGCCTTGAATTCAAAATGCCAGTAGAAACGGCACAAGGGTGATCAATGAACATCACAGGAATTAATTTACAATCATCATATTTTTCACATGTCAATTCTGCGTCGCTTGCGCAAGGATATCAGTGATAGCTTTTAGTATTCTTCGCCAAAGAGGTAATCACTATTGTGTCGAGATCAGTTTTTTCTCTCCAATCCTCCGTAGTTAGATTTAACATTCTAAATGCCGGAAGGCGAAGTGCTATCGTCCTTAAAGCTGTGAACTAACAGCTTTATCGAACAGAAGCAGTATTAGAATCAGCCCTTATGGAATACTCTCGTTGCCATTGTGAGACCCACATCTTCTCAGGAGCGACATAGGTTATAGGACGAGAGGACATTCTGACACAGCTGATCTTACTTTCGTAATATCATCATGATATGATAATCTTATCCTCTTCTTGTCGCGTCTATCTAAATCATCCAGACCATGAGTTCCCAACCAGGGCGGCGCGCCTCCCAAGGGGGGCATAGAGAGATTTCAAAGGGTCGGAAAGCGTTTGCATTTTAGAAAGAAAAAACAAAATAAATAAACAACATTAACAAACAAGTAACGTTACAATGTAATATTTAATTTACACGCATAAAATTAGAAATTAAATATCATATTCACTTATTGTCAACCACTGTTTCAGAACCCGACGTCGTCAATCGCAGTTTATACAAGTTTCGACAAGTCACAACATGAAATCCGCGCGCACCCTCGCCGGGCTCTGCTTAACATTCATCACTTAGAAAACAACTGTGTACCTACCAGACGCGGATGAGCATCTGTGACATTAATTTCCACGAGCTGCAAAAAATTTGACGTTTCGATGTACATGTTTTGTTGAGAAATCTGTTTGAGTGTGTCAAATTATTGTGTCTCACTGTTAAAATGTACCTTTGTATTTTTTTTAATTTACTAAATTGTTGATTGAGTGGAGACGTGTTCATAGATCGGCCATTGGGACTTTTATACCACATCACAATCAAACCAACGTGGCGAAATAATTTTGAAACGACGAACTTTAGGTACCTAATATTGATTCCAAATGTGTTTTAAATTACCACTATAACGTCAACCTGCCTACAAAAATATAAATCTCCCGGTGGCCAATATACTGTTGAACACATTACGTTATTATAATAACTTATTGGATAGGGATACGTATGTAAACTACAGAAACAACCTAAATAAAATAATTAATAAATAAACATTTAACTATTATAAGGAACAAATCAATGAAAATCAACACGATTTTAAAAAGATTTACAAAATTATTTCTGATGCTGTTAATGAAAAAAGTAAACATTCTAGCAAAATTGAAATTAGTCAAGATAATAACAAAACATTCACAAATGATAAACAAATGACTGAATACTGCAACAATTTTTTCATTAATGTAGGGAAGAAAATGGCTTGCAAAATAAAACCCCCTGATATTCCCCTCAAAATTAAATATAAATCATTCAGTTCCATGTTTTTAAAGCCTGTTAATAGAAATGAGATTATAAAACATATCAATCAGTGCATTGAAAAACAACTGTTCACCCGGTTTTGATGGAATACAAACGAAAATTATAAAGCAATATCATTTGTACTTAATTGAGCCATTAGTATACATCATAAATCTAATTTTTAAAACTGGCTGTGTACCCCAATGCTGTAAAACAACTATTGTTACCCCAATATATAAATCTGGGGATAAAACTAAAATTACAAATTTTCGTCCAATTGGAGTCATTACGAATTTCGCTAAAATATTCGAAAAGTGTGTTAAAGAGACATTATCAAACTTTTTATCTAGTACAGGCGTCCCTCGTTTTACGCGGCATATTTATACGGGGTTTCGCTTATACGCGTTTGCGCTTTTGACCCCAGTGATTTATTTTCGCGGTTGCATCGCGTCACCCCGTGGTTTCAACTTGCAATCAGGCATGACCTGATTTGTAGGGAATATCCTGGGCAACTTTTAAAAATCATTGAAGAAGAAGGTTTTAAACCTGAGCAGGTTTTTAACGCGTACGCAACTGGCTTGTTTTGTAAAAAGATGCCAAACCGTACATTTTTATCAAAAGAGGAGAAGACCGCAAAGGGCTTTAAAGTAGAAAAGGATCGTCTCACACTTTTGCTTTGTTCAAATGCTTCTGGAGATTGTATGATTAAGCCTTTATTAGTGTACAAGTCATTGAATCCCCGTGCTTCAAAAAACAAAGATAAAAATAAATTGCCTGTGTTTTGGCGTGCCAATGGTCATGTATGGGTAACATGAGACATTTTCTTAGACTGGTTTGAGAACTGTTTTATACCAGAGGTTAAACGTTATTTGACGTCAAAAAATCTTGAATTTAAGGTGTTATTATTCATAGATAATGCCCTTGGTCACCCAGCCGCCCGTTTACAGGAAATAAATCCGTTCGAGTAGAATTTCTTCCACCAAACACCACATCAATAATACAGCCTCTTGATCAGGGAATCATTGCCATCTACAAAGCTTACTACACGCGACGCACGTTTAAAATGCTGTTAGAAAACTTGAACGTGACTCTACAAAAACATTAATCCAATGCTGGAAGGATTACACAATTGCAGATTGCCTACATAATATTAAAGAACCGATTGGTGAACTTAAAAAATCGACATTAAATGGTTGCTGGAAAAACTTATGTCCAGAAATTGTGAAGTCTCATGCGAAGATGCCTGATATCAGAGACGAAATCAAAGAAATTGCTGATTTAGGAAAGTCATTACCTGGAGAGGGATTCGATGATATGAATGAGGACGATATAAATCAGCTATTTGAATCGCATAATGTTGAACTCACTGAAAGAGAACTCATAGAACTGACGGAGAACAATTATGAAGCTCAAGAAAAAGGTGAAGATGATGAAGTAGTCCCGGCACCAAAGGAGTTGACGTTGAAAACGCTTAATAAATGTTTTACCATGGCACACGATCTCACCGAGCTGTTAATCAGGGAAGATCCTACAAGGAAAGAAGTTTAAAAACTAAACCAGAGGTTTTTGCAGCATTGGCACCATACAAGGAAGTTGAGAAGAATTTACGTAACGAAGCTAAACAGTCAAAAATTACGTCTTATTTTTCTAAAAATTAATATTTTTGTTAAAAAATTAACGTTTAATGTTCTCATACATAATATGTACAAACATACCTATGTATATTATGTATTTAACAAAAATTTATGTAATAAAATGTGTTTGTTTCGAAATATCCGGTTTCCTTTTACGCGTGCGGTGTTTTCAAAGAACGTTACCCCCGCGTAAAACGAGGGACGCCTGTAATAATGTTTTGTCAGAAAATCAATTTAGTTTTCGCAATGGCATCAGTACCTCAGATGCGATACTTAAGCTTACAAGAATCATTTGGAAAAATCTTGATCAAGGAAAGAAATGCATTGCGTTCTTCCTAGACCTTGCAATCGCATTTGACAGAGTGTCCTTCTAGATGTTCTCGATATTTTTGGGAACAGGGGTGTTGTGTCGGAGGTTTTTGCGAGTTACTTGACAGGTAGAATACAGATAACTAAGATCGGAAATGTGATCAGTGACTCATCAGAAATAGAAATGGGCATAGCACAGGGCACCGTTATTGGGCCATTACTATGTATATTATATATAAGCTCTTTGACAGATATTATTCTAGAAAATGGTATGGTGGTTTCATACGCTGATGACACCGTCGTGGTCTTTGTGGCGGAAACATGGGAAGAGGTATATGAAAAAACATCTCTTAGATTAGAAAAAATAAAATGTTGGCTTGATTCATCTAAACTTAGTTTAAATGTGGATAAAACTAATTACACAGCCTTTTCCTTAACATCTGCAAATCGACCAAATTTTAACAGCATACAAGTAAACGGTTTTGAAAATGAAATAAAAGAGGTAATACACGAAATACCTTGGTGTAATAATAGATCAAAATCTTAAATGGAAGCAACATGTGCTTAGGTTAACTAACAATTTACGAAAACTAATTAGAAAATTTTATATACACATGATAATTATATAGATTGTCAAATAATTATTTGACCTTGATTTATTTTGTTTTATTTATTTTACTATTTTATTATTAAAATGTTACATTACACATTATTTAAGATTGGTGCATATGGATATTAAGTTATCTAGCTACCACATAAGAAAAAGTAAACAAACATGTTTTATTTTAGTGTAATATATAAAACCACTGTATATATCGCCATCACTTTGTAATATATTGTATTGTATTATTGTACTGTATTAATATAAAATAATGGGCATGTAATTAGTAATTACATGTAGGTATTTCGCTTATTTATTTATTACTTATTTGTCGTATTGTTATAGGTGCAAAATGGCAGCGAAAAAAAGAAAGTTTTCCGAAGATTATGTTGAGTTTGGATTTATATTCAAAGAAAAAGACGAGTTACAATTGCCTCAGTGTGTGATATGTATGAAAGTTTTAAGTAATGATAGCATGAGGCCTAATCGCCTTGAAAGGCATTTGAAGCAACAACACCCTACTCAGGTTTTGAAGACGAATGAGTTTTTTCTTCTAAAGCAGAATCACACAAGCGGATGAGACTGAATAAATCGGGAAGTTATCACACAGGTGTATCGCAGCATCTCAAAGCTTCATTTGAAATAGCTTTTATGATAGCAAAGCAAAAGAAACCTGATAGTATCGGTGAAGAATTAATAAAACCATGTGTTCTGAAAGTCACGAAGATAATTTTAAGAGAAGATGCAGAGCAAAAAATGAAGTCTATTCCTCTTTCGAATAACACAGACAAGCGTATAATTGATGACATTGCAGCAGACATAAAGTCACAAATAATTAACAAAGTAAAATTATCACCATTGTTTGCCATTAGTTGCGATGAATCCAGTAAATAGTTTATGTTCGTTACATCGGCGGAGATATCATTCAAGAAGAGATTTTGTACTCCCGATCTTTGACAGCAGGTACTACATCAGAAGATATATTTATTCAATATCAAATTTTGTTAAACAAAATGATTTGGTTTAGAAGAAACTTATTGGACTTTGCACAGATGGCGTACCTGCAATGATAGATGTACAATCGGGCTTAGCTAAAAAGCTCAAGGAAAAAGATTACGCAATGGTTAGTACACATTGTGTTATTCATCTTCAAGCTTTGGCTTCCAAAACATTGCCACAGAAATTACGCCAGACTTTGTACTCGGCTATAAGGATTGTAAACTACAACAAGAGCAGCGCTTTGAACAGTCGGTTATTTACTTTACTTTGCGAGGATCTCGATTCTGATCACAAAGTTCTTCTGTTCCACACAGAAGTACGCTGGCTGTCCAAAGGCAACATGTTGGCTCGCCTTTATGAATTGAAAGAAGAAGTTCTTTTTCATGAGTCCAAAGAAAAACACGATTTTTTGATGTTCAAAAATTACACATTTCAATGGAGGTTGGCTTATTTAACTGACATATTTGACTCCTTGAATGAGCCAAACTTGAAACTTCAGAGCAGAAACAACATTATAATAAGCAATTACGATTATATTCAGGGGTTCATATCAAAGCTTCAACTTTGGAATCAAAAAGTGTCTTCTGATAATGTTATATGTTTTTCTCGGCTGTTTGAAGCAATTAAAAATAACATACTGGACGCAAATTTAAAAGATCATTTGCAAACGCTGGAAGACGAATTGCGCCGATACTATCGAGACATCAATAGGGCACATGACAAGAAATCCATTTGTTGTCGATGTGTCACAATTACCAGAAGCAGTTCAGGAATAATTTCTAGAAATGAAGGCTGATTTGTCCATGAAAGACGACGTCCATCTTGCAACATTGGAGAAATTTTGGATCAAGAGATTGATTGCCTGTTAATTCGATACTTGCCTCTCTTGCTTTACGAATACTAGTTCCTTTTTCTTCAACTGACTTATGTGATACAGGCTTTTCTGCTCTAGTTTTAATTAAAACTAAACAGCGAAATCGTCTTGATGTCGATATCGACTTGATGATAGCTCTAGCAAAAACAGAACCTAGAATGAACCAACTGGTACAGAACATGCAATCTCAAGTGTCTCATTAGTACCTACTCTTATTTTATTCAAGTTTTTCGATAAAAAACATTTATTAGTTTATTTAAACTTTTAAAGTTTCTTTATTAGAATTAAAATAAAAGTCTTTGTACTATATAATGTGCCTTTTTTGTATTTATTGAAAAGTAAAGGGTGGCATGAAAATATAATTTATAGTCCGAGGAGCCTCAACAAAAAAAAAGGTTGGAAAACCCTGATATAGACCATCAACTTCAATATGGAATTTGAAAATGAACAGCTCTGTATGATGCAGAGTATGCTTAAGTCGTTCTTCCACACATAAAAAGATAGTATAATGCTGATTAAAATTTGTGCAATAAGGAAGGTTTGTTTAATGCCCTAATTGCAATTCAGAAGGTTAGAACACGAAATTGTTGCAATGGGTGTTCTAAGGTTAGGACAAAGTTTTCACTTTCTTCGACCCTTTTAGAAAAACGAAATGAAAGACAGTATAAAAAAAACTTGCACGCAACGCAAAATGCATTGAAATGGATAATTTTCGGAATCGTGCTAGGAATTAAGAAATTTATAAAAGGAATACGGCAAATTAGTGGTAAAAACCTAAGTTGAATCTAAAATTTCAACCACTTTACATTTTGACATGGATAAAAAAGCAGATTATGGAGAAAATACGATTCTGGACAGTGGAAAGCATTGCGGTTTGATAAGCTAATAAAGTCATACCAGAGGATGGCTAAAAGTCCTAGTAATGGAACATGATTTGGAATCACCCTGTATAATAAGGCAAAAGATGGCCGCCATCTAGAAATTAGATAAGCAAATTAAAGCCAAAGCAGTAATGGACCTATGGACTGCTGAAAAAATAATCAACGTGAAGTTGGAAATGAAAATTAACTGCATTTTTGCGTATTGTGTTTATTTTGGTCTTGAGCGTATATCAATTATTAACATGTACTTTAAAACCACTGCAAAACACATAACGGACCATAAATCAATACTCTGTCCATTCAGCTTTGCAACGGAACTGGCTAGAGTGGCTATACAGTATGAGGTATAGTTTAGTGAATTCGTTTTTCGCTATAGGTCTAATAGAAAACAAAACTCTCGATTAATGACAAATTGCTATATTTCCCCAGCATTAGGGTATTATGGTATAGGACAATGGGAAATACGGCAACATGTGATTCTCATAAGGATTCATGCAATTTATGAAAAATAAAACATAAACAAATATATTTTTAAAGAAATGTTTATTAACATATCAATAAATAAATAAACCTAATCTGAAACCAAAGATAACCTGAAATAGGTTGACATATATTAAATAAATAACAAAAATAATCCTACACTAAAATAGAAAATAAATATTCAATTGTTCCATTCAATATCGTTTGTCAGCTGTTGTGGGAGGCAGCCCTCGCAGAATAAGTCAGATCTTGTGCAGAATTCATGGACCCAGTCTGAATGCCTAGTACATTGTATCCAGTTGCATTTGGGATCCTTCTTGTCGAAACAATATCCACCGCACTCTGCACAAATTTCGGAATGGTCTACTTCTATTTCTGAGTCAGCACTTTCCAGTGTAGCTACTTCTGTTTCGCTTTCGGACGAACTATAATAATCAAATAGGGCACTTCTACGACTTTTCTCTTTCGCAAGCTTTTTGTTATTTTCCACCTTTTCCTATTGCTTTTTTGTTTGTCATCCGTTTTTTCATTCGTTGTCGGGCTGTCATCAGTTTCGTAGATATTTTTTTCTTTGGCTTCTTTTTTCTCTCGTTTTTATGCTACTACCTCTGAGAAGCAAATGAGTACGCAATCTTTTTTACGTGTACAGATGTTAGCGCAACACCCATCTTCTCCATTTTTGGATGTATTCTACAAAGCTTCGTTCATATTCTGGACATAGATAACTCTTACAACCTAAGTTGACCTTATTTGCGTTTCCTGATTGCATTCTCCTCATTAAGGTTCTAACAGGCACAGAATAGATTCGACAAATATGCCTTACTGAACCACGACTATTTCTAACATCTGAGATTGCATTTGTCAGATCTTCTGCTGACCACATGGCCCTCGAACTTTTCTTGGTGTAATTTCGTGGCATCTTCTTTACACAAAATAATTTTAAGAATGCACATACCTTGTATTTTCGTATTTTTTCCCAAACACTGTTAAATACTCGTCTTTCGATGCAATATACCGATTTATAAAGGAAATATTGAGCTGCGGCGTATTACCCAAGGTGCCATATTACTCCACTTCTAATCTACAGTTTCCCCTCTACACGTTACTGCGGCTGTGTCAAGTAAGCCGGTAAAATTTACTCTAACACTCATTACCGGAGTCTTCAGTTGGTGCCAGTATCAGTGAACGTATGTTTTCAAAACTAGTCCTTTTTATATTGAACCCCCGAATACAAAAAATGGAAATGAGCAACGGATATTCGTAACGCAGATACCATAAGATATCCAAACTTGTTGTCAGAAAATTTGAAAGCCTTCGCGGAACAATAGGTACATACCTCAATTTTACGCGATAGCAAATAGTCTGCCTACTTGATGCCGTTTTTTGTTGCGCGACGTACCTATTATCTCGTATTCAATTACCTCTGCTTCCATAATACCTGGAAAGTAAAATAAAGACGAATTTCAAGTTTGGCGCCTTGCCATAGTCGCAAAGTTTTGTTCATATTATTAATCACAATCACAGTCCTTTGTTAGGCCGCTTTTATATTATGACGCTTCCAGCAGGTTCCGCGGCGCTTAATCGCGTTATTGCATTATTTGCCGTCGTTTACGCAACGTTCGCCGCATACCCATTTCCGTCTATTTCACGGTATGATGATTCAGCCCAATATGGCAAATTGGGGGAGTGGGAATGCTGCTAGCTGGATGCGGCTAGCGTCACGTCGCACGGGAGATATGCGGGTGCACATTTTTCAAGGTTAGTGCGGATTTTCGGGCAACGCACGACCGAAGTGACCGGAATAGAATACATTTATTTAAAAAAGGTATAATAAATTTAAACAAGAATAATTCTATGGCAGGTCTGAAAAATACGGAAGGATCTTAAAAACGTGCGTATGAAAGTCCTTTAGCGAAACATATAGAGGTTCAAGAAAAAGGCTATAAGCAATACTACCTATGAAAAGTGTCCCCAGAGGTATCCAAATGCGGAAAAATTGTAATTAGTAAAGTATATTTTGTCAAATCACCTTAGTCAAATTTTCAGGTCGATGGTGCCACCCAACTTCAAAAACATGTTTATTTGAAAATATTTTTTACCGGCGCAATTTGCTCAGAAAATTTTGAAAATACCTAGGCTTCATGGTTATATGCTAATTAACCGTTCGAGAAAAAAGTTTTTTGAAGTTGTTTTCTTTTCAAATTTTAGGTCATGTAATGAAAATTTCGAAAACTCAAGAATCCACTGTAGTATATCAGTACCTTCTCGCTTTCCTTTCAGATCCACTAACAAAATCGTGAAAGAATCGGGAAAAAAGCATTTTCAATAATTTTGTCAAATTATTGACATTTTAAACGTAGGATATCATAAGTTGACTAAATTAAAAACTCGGCAACCATACGTATTTGTGTCCATTATCTCAGGTGGTCAAAATTTAGATTTCTCCCGGAAAATTTCGAAAACAGGAAAAACTGAATTTTCGGTTATTTTCTTCAACTTTTAAGGTTTTTGGTAAGGTGGGGAATACGTGACTAACAGTAATCCCTTGTAGATATATGCTCTTGAGCATTTTTTTTTTTTTAGTTCCATTGTCAGTCAATCATTTCTTGTCCGAGAAATCGCCAAACATCGGAAAAATCGTATTTTCATCGATTCTTACATCTCAAACATACTCATGAGTGGACCAATTTTAAAACTCGATGAACATAATTATGTATTTTTGTCCATTCTTTCAGGTTTCACCCAATATTTGTTTTCCTGAAAAGTGCCAAAATACGAAAAAACACATTTTCTCTGACTTTCTTTAATTTTTGGCAACTGTGGTCAGGAAAGGAATAGTTGGGTACCATAGTAACCAATGTATGTGCTTTACGTCCTTCTCACTTTCGATGTCAAAATCATGATTTCTTGTTCGGAAAATTGCCAAAAATCGGAAAAGGATATGTTCACCAATTGTAGAATTTTAGACATGTTTACAGTAGGATATCATAAGTTCGTCAATTCAAGAATTCAAAGACTCAATCCACCATATGAGTACAAGGTACAAGGTTTTTGAGTTAGCCAAGCATTCCATTAAGGTTTTTCCTTTTTTCACAATTCAATGACTATTTTGACAATGAAACCTGGTAGAATGATCAAAAATGTACATTGGTTTTTTGCGTCTTCCAACTTATAATGTCATCTTCTATGTAAAAAACTCAAGAAAAACAGGTAAAAATACGATTTTACGCATTTTTGAATTGAAATCAGGATTTTGACAGCTGAACTGGAAAGCACATAGAAATTCAATCATATAGTCTATAGTGATTTATTGCATCAGCCAAGTTTTTCTTTCCTGACCTAAAGCATTAACATTGAAGAAAATCAGCAAAAATGCGGTTAGCCTATTTTTTGACAATGACACCTGTATGCACAAAATACATATATGTGCATTGGGTTTTTGAGCTATCGATGTTATAATATCTTACTATAAAATTGTCCAAAATTGGAAAAATCGGTTAATATGCGGTTTTTCCGATTTATCTCGATTTTTCGAACATGAAATCATAATTATGACAAAGA